TCAAATCTGTCAAGGCTCAAAGTCCTGCCTTGGAGTGGTGGAGAAGTTTGTAGAGGAGTGGTTTACTGGCTTAAATTTAGCCTTCGTCACTTGGGCATAGTTCAAAATTACGCGTTCCATCGTCTATTACCCTAGTGTTTATAATGTGACGTTAGAAAAACTCTTTCACACACTTATTTAAATTATTTCTTACTCATTTGTGAAACTGGTAAGCTTAATGGCAGAAAATATGACAGTAGTTAAGACTACAGGTTTAAGTCTTCACTACGTGGTCGCTATAAGCAAGTGGTCAGGTAACAAACTCGTGGCAGGCATTGTATATGTTGAGTCCTGATTTTACTAATGACCCGTTTTGTAGAGGGGCAGATGCAGGTAAATCTTTTGAGGCTTAAAGTCTCCACACGTTAGCATGGTGCGTAAGCTTGAAAAGCTGGGATCATCTCCGGAGGCATGCTCTTTAAGTGACAACGGCTCAAAGTAACGAGGCTATCGCCAATAACTCAACCTAGAGAAAATGGGTAATGAAACTTTTTAAAGTATCAATCAATCGATCGAGTTTTTGCAACAGGAAATGCTTTCACGTGTTTAAAATTGTATAAATTTTCGACAAATCTGACTCTCGTAATACCAGAACTGAAATGTCATCTTCGTCACTTGACTATTTTTAGGAAAGATAATGTTCAACGCTCCTTAAAATATCTCTTATTGCTTTATTGATTACATAAATTCTCTCCGATTTCATCAAATCCGGCCTCTAATCAGTCACAAATCCTCCTGCCAAATGAAATATTGGTTATTATACGATAGCCTTGAAGCTCTGAAAATGATTACGTCATTATAATACGGACAGAAATAATGTTTTAATCGCGTCAAGGTGTTGTTTTTATTATTGACATTGTCCGTCTTTGACTCTGTGCACCACAATTTTTATGTAACCATAATTTAGACAAATTATGCGGTTAGGATATCGGAGAAAATTTAAGGTACTGAATCATATCTAAAATGTAAAAAAAAAATCTATTTTATTAGTGCTTTCAGGCTTTTTAAATAAGATTGAGTACCGATAAACTCTTTCTTTTCCCTTTGTTTCAATTTTATCAAATATA